GGTAGGCAATCCCGCCTCGCTTGTCCAGGATGTGATCCTTTGGGGATGCTTCCCGTCCCGTGCATCGTTGTGTGGCTCCAGGCGGCAACGCCAGGGAAGTGCCATGTGACAATGATAATGAAATGATCAGGATATTAAACTATTATGGGCGATTTGCTATTAATAATAATTATATTTGGCGACTTTTAAGAAATATGCACCAGCCGGGGTACACGACGTTTGGAGCCGAATCGTATTTGTCGTGGGTGTGTCATCGGCGTGCTCGGGGAGGTCCCCAATGACGTCCCCGGGGGCCCACAGCCGGATCCACGGCGTGGCGCGAACCAAGACTTGTTCAAAAATAAGTTTATTTACTTATGTTAGTGAAATAGCGTAAGTTATTTCATTTACCCTTTTCCAGGCCCGGAACTGCACTCATAAATGACAATCCAAGCAAAAGCAAAAGAGTTGACATTTTGGCAATTTGGATTTGACCCTGTTGTGGAATTTCGATCGTCCTGTAAATCTTTTCAAGACTTTAATTTGTAAACGTAAATTAAAGAACAAAATAGACATTGTTATGCCATTTCAAAAATATCTCTTCTTGACCACATAGGTAGAGTGATACATGGTACTAACCACCTTTTAAATTGTGTTTTAGAACGATATTACAGGAAGTTATTTCCTAGAAAAGTTTTATAGCTCCCAGGAAAGTCCATTAAGACGTTGAGTCCCAGGGCTATTGTGGCAATACGTATGGCCATCTGGGACCCAACATGTGTTAAAAATTAGTATCTCTGAACGCTAAAATAGGTGCCAAGTTTCCACCACAGTCTTCAATTACACAAAACTTTGTACTTTCACCAAGAGCAAACCTATGGCTTGTGGGACAAATACATTTAGATGGACGCAATTTATTCATGTTCTTTTCAAAAATCTGTGTGAATTTCCAAGGTTATTGAGGCTCATTTTCATGCTTTCTCCAAAGTAGGTAAAATGGAATATTGAATGGTATCCCCAAAAATAAAGCATAGAGCAGAGCCAGACGATAGGGATGTGCTCTATCATTAAATGGGAATGGATTGCTCCCTCTTCTGGGAAAGGTCATCCTTTCAGTTTTTGGTTTAATAGAGGATAGATGCCTTGTACCGAATTGAGCACTAGGCATAGACAACAGCAGCTGAAAATTAATCGCTCTATGAGTTCAATTTGAACTCTTCAATATTCAAGGTTATAGTACTGAGAATTGTTTTACCTTAGTTAAACTGGACAACTTCAGCATATTAGGTGATTTGTTTACTTGATGGGTGACTGGGTGACTGTTGCTATGGGAACACTTCTTGAAGTAAAGGAATTGCAGGTATTGCTACTTTGATTACGTAAAATATATTTATTGCAAGTATTTTTTAAAAATATATAAATATATATCTGTTCCCTTAACATTCTTTTAAATACAGTCAGTTGAAAAGCTTTCTACATAAAAATGAGAAGTGATTACAGGCTCACTGCACTCATCCATCATTTTAAAAATCTTACATCAAACCATTACAGTATTTCTTTGCATCTGTAGCTAATTAATCCTACAAAATGAGGGAAAGAACAAACAATGAGCTTCAACCTTCAACCTGCTGACTCTTGAACATGTGAGTACTTCATGACAAATAAGCTTACACAAACATATGTAATAATAATATTTGCCAGAGAACTTTTACATCTTGAATATTGAGTTATGGTAACTTAAATCAAATAATTATGTGGCTCTGACCATTAAGCGATATCCTCAACTAAAATTGAGAAGCTCCATTGATAATAGATAGTTCTACCACTATAGGCATCGTCTGCTGAAAATCTCTTTTTCACATCAGCAAGTTAGTACATAAAACAAAATAAAAATGAATTTAAAGTCTTGACAGAAACCAAGACAGCAAGCATAAGACATACAACACTTTTGAATTAATCTATCAAATGATTCATAAGAATGATAATTAGTATGTATTATTTTTAATTAACAGTATAAATAAAATCACAGCTAAGGCATGAAAAAAAAAAATCAACATAGAGAAAGTTGAAAGAAGAAATTAAAGCAAAGCAATCTGATTAGTATGGTAATAGAAAGACAGAAAAGTAACTTGATGCACTTTTTTTTTCTTCTTATTTTCCTCCCCGCAGAAAAGGAAGCTGTCTTTCATTTTCCATAATAATTCTCTGAATAGCTCGGATTGCAGCAGCATAGCGATTATCTTCTGAATCTTGAACTAAGCCAACAGAAGCCGCAATGCTAGCAACCTTTGAGACAATTGCTCTTTCTGGTCCCACTTGTTCTAGGTAGGATATCTGAATCAATTCATCAACAGATGCACGTTCCTTTGGATTCCGGACAAGACAGAGTTTCATGGCTTGAATTAAAGAAGAGGGGCAGTTACTTATGGGAGGATCTGGAAACTGAATTCTATGAGAAGCACTCACAATTGCGTTAAGTTTCTGGAATTGACCAGTAATGTGCTGAAAAGGAGTGCGCCCATACACTAAATTGTACAAGATGCAGCCCAAGGACCAGACATCAGATTTATAGCTAATTTTGAACTGTTGACTTTCAGAACTAGTAGTGCACAAAGCCTCTGGACTGATGTAGTTGTATGTTCCAGTTAAATTATCCTTTACAACACTTGTCATATCTTCTTGCACAGAAGAGGCAATTCCAAAATCAATCAATTTCAGGCGCCCTGATACAAGTAAGAAATTTGCAGGTTTCAAATCTGAATGAATAGTACCTCGTTTATGAATGAAACTGACAGCATTAAGCATTTCAGTCCAGTAATACGCAATCATAGTTGCTGATATTTTCTTTGAATTCTTCACATCTTTAATTAGCTTGGATAAATCTGTGTCACCTTTCTCCATGACAACAAACAATGTATTGCTTTCCTTGTGGTGTTCATGGTCGAACATACGAATTACACAGTCCCCATCTTGAAGATCAGCAAGTAATTTGATTTCATTGAGGTATCCTTCACAAATAGAAGTATCAGTTTCAGCCAGGTTGACACATTTCACAGCCTTCAGCTGCGAGGTTTCTGGATCAAGAACCTGAAACACTTTGCTAGAGCCACCTCGACCAAGTAGACTGAGAATGTCATAAGCATGACCGTTTACTTTTAACTGACCTTTGCCAGGACTACTCACTTTCTGATCCGTATTGCTCTCTGTTTTACATTCATTTTTAACAGAGATAAGAGACTTGGCACATGGTGGTGCTGGTTTCTGAACCTCATTAGGAGAGGTTACACAAATTCTTACTGGGTCAGGCATACTGCTGGTCTGAGCTGGAGATGGACCTCTAATATCTTTTGATGGTTCTGAAGACACCTGATGAATGGATTTATTGTCTTTCTGCAAGTCAGAGGGCTTGACAGAAACTTGTGGTGGGGGACATTTACCTTGAGGTACCTCTGAAGAAGTTTGAAGGGCCGAATTTCGGGAAGAAATCGCAGATTCCAATCCAGTTGATCGAAGAGGAAGTGCACCACCACTATTCATAGAATTAGAAACTTGATTAGGACGACTATATAAATGAGGAAACCTGGTTTCTGGTAACCATGTGCTCTCAGTGGCTGACATGGGAGGAGATGGTTGTTTCTCAATTCCAGCTGAAGTGGTATGAAAAATAGGTTTTTCAGATGCTGAAGATACAGGAATCGCACGAGGTGTCTGATCTGCAGGTTTGAGATGAGGAAACCTGCTTCCTGGTAACCATGTGCTCTCAGTGGCTGACATGGGAGGAGATGGTTGTTTCTCAATTCCAGCTGAAGTGGTATGAAAGATAGGTTTTTCAGATGCTAAAGATACTGGAATTGCACGAGGTGTCTGATGTGCAGGTTTGAGATGGGAAAACCTGGTTTCTGGTAACCATGTGCTCTCAGTGGCTGACATGGGAGGAGATAGTTGTTTCTCAATTCCAACTGAAGTGGTATGAGAGATAGGTTTTTCAGATGCTGGAATTGCACGAGGTGTCTGATCTGCAGGTTTGGTATGCGATTGCCAGGATTTGGAGGAAGCTACGTTATCATGAAGGGAGGGATTCTCACGAAAACCGAAGGTCGGCCGCGCCTGTGCTTGTAGTGCATCACAATTGGTTGTACTTGGAGCACTTTTGAATGGTGTTGTGTCAAGAAGTCTCCTGGAAATACTTGCTTCATTGGGACCTTCAGATAGTTGACTTTGGGCTTCACGTTGCAATTTAAGTTGCTTTGCTTGCTGCTGTCCAGCAACTACTGCCGGATGCAAAGGAACTTTCAGAAGTTCATACTTTGCTGATTTAGATGATGATTTTGATAAACCATATAATCTTTGCCTACCACGCTGAACTTCAGTTGATTGATTTGATACTACTTTGCATTGAGGAGTACGAAAAATGTCACGATCATGACTTGGAAACATGTTGACACTGCCACTGCCATTTCCTAAATCTGTATGAACACCATCACTTACATCCTGGGAAAGTGCTGACTCCACTGGTAAGGCAGAAAGGGGACACCGAGATTGAGCCGGGGTCGAAGCTTGAAATGCTTCAGAATTCTTACGTGGAGTGAAAAAGTTTTCCTTATCAAAGGTGTTTGCTTCTCTAGGTATGCTTCCTGTTTCGTGCTTCGATGGTGTTGCTTTGATAACTTGAAAATCTTGGACTGCTCTCAAGTCATTCTGAGAGGCAGCATGTTTCCTTTCCGTTCCAAAGGGTATTTTCCACTCTTTGCTGGAATTAAGTGTTTCAGGAATGGTGTTGTTGGAAGGAGCCCAGTCATGGCTTTCATTACTACTGGATACATCTCCATGAGAACGGCGCTCCTTTCTGGCAAGATCCAAGTAAAGTTCTGATAGCTCAGAATCTAGGCGCACTGGTTCTACAATGCGGGCTGATGAAGACCTCCCAAAAACACTGTAGTGGAAAATATACATAAGAGATGGTTGTAATGATTTCCAAGATAAATCAGAAACTATAGAAATAAATAAGTGGTAAGTACGAACTGTCGTTTCTTTCCAGTAGATAGCAGCGTACGAGCATAATCAGGCTCTGGTTTTGATGAATGAGGCTGTGCATCGCTTGCCTCATCACTTTTGACATAGTCTCCAAACATGACAATACCCTGCAAGAAAAATATTATTACAGTATT